TTCTCTCTCTCTCTCTCTCTCTCTATCTCTCTCCCCCCCTCTCTCTCTCTTTTTATCTCTTGCTCTCTATGCCCCCCCCTCTCTCTTTCTCCCTCTCCCCTCCAACCTAGCTCGGACTGCAGCAAATGTTTCCAGGGCTCATCTTAAACCCTGAGGCTATTTTCTAACAACAGAATCTTTGTGCACGCCAACGCAGGTTCGACATCAGCACACTTACATATTTATGACAAAATAGCGCACACGTCTTTCAGTTTGCATCTCCTTACAGCCAAGTTAATTGGAAAATTCAATTGGTGCTTGTAGCTTGCTGAAAAATAACATCATGGGACAAACCTGGACGACGTTCTTGACTCCTCCCCTTCATCCAGGAGAAGGGAATCAAAATAAGGCTGCCACTTTGTGAAGTGCATCTCATTGTAATAATATTGCTGTTTGACATTTGCTCTCATTGAAAGTTTCCATTGTATTCATTTTGAAAGAACCACTAATTATCTCTTCTCTAGATAGAAACTGGTGCCAGGCGAATGTTGAAGGAGTGGGTCAAACTTCAAATAGACACTGTAACCCAGAGAAAGAGTGTGAGCCCTGGGGCCCTCTCTACACCAAGCTTTGGCAAACTATGGCCCGCGGGTCAGATCCGGCCTGAGAGCATTTTTAGTCTGTTCCGCAGTCAGACCCAGTTATTAATTATAGGAGTAGCCCGTGGTGGGTTGATAAATTAATAACAAATCTGTCTGTTTTGGAAATTAAAATGGTTGGTTTCGGATCCACATGGAAGCAATAAATCATCGTTTTATTTTATGAAATGCCAACGAGTGGTAAATGCTATTGTGTCAGTTTTAGTCTCATTTTTGTGAGTTTGGGTATTTCAACCGATTTTTCTCATTGTACTCCTGCTGTGGCCCGCAAGATATTCAGAGTCGCTTAATTCAGCCCACGAGACTTTTCTACCTCAGAATTACAAAGTTCTATCTGCTAAGTATCTTATTTTTAAAAGTAATTTGACGTAAAAAAATGAATTTCCCATGTCACGATTTTTAAAGGCAATTCTTTTAGTCTATGTTTAGTATAGGGTTTTACGGCGCTCGCAACTGCATAAGGTCATATGAGCGCAAGGCAATTCTTTGAATATCTTGATAACGACTCCGAAAAATCTTATGATTTCAATAGAGCAGATAGAACATTTGGTTAATTACCTCATGGTTGTAACAACTCGAAACGGCCAAAAAAATGTCTGATAGCATTTTGTAATTCTATTAAGGAACCGACTTGTCCATGCCTGCTGTAAATCATACGTGTCAAAATTCAATCGCTCACGAGGCCAAACCCAAATTACGCTGAAGGTTGCGGGCTGAACTGGATAAAAAACAACTCATAAAGCAGCAGGAAACTATACATTTTTAAAACATTGATATGAGTCAAAACAGACAATAGTTAACGATAAATCGAGGCTTACCATTTTTCACTCTTGGAATGCCAATTTTTTCAGAACTGGGCGTTTAGCATCTTTTCTTAGCAACAAGTTCGTTTATGTTTTTCGGTAAGATTCTGTGCTATGCAGGTTCTCAGGATGGGCTGTTCAAAAATTTTCTTGCTGGTCGGATATAATAATTGTTCGCTGGGCCGGATGCGGCCTGCAGGCCTTGAGTTTGACACCTGTGCTTTAAGCACTCGGAGACAACTGCGGCGAGATCTGACTGTTCACAGGGCTTCACTGCTTAGGCATAGTTGTTAAAATATATTGTTATGAGAGAGTGGGAGCGAGAGGGGGAGAGAGAGAAAGAGAGAGAGAGAGAGAGAGAAAGAGAGAGAGAGAGAGAAAGAGAGAGAGAAAGAGAGGGAGGGAGGAGGAGGAGGAGGAGGAGGAGG